GGAGAAGAAAGAGCTCTTTCCCTGTAATAAGTTATGGGGCGGCAGCAGCAAGGGTGCTGAGCCAGCTCCGCGGAGATCACTGCAGACTTTACTTTCGGTTTTGTCTGAAACTGCTCTTCCTGTATTCCCCATATCATGCACCCTCCGCCTCCCAGCAGCTGTTTTTGGGGAGGGGGAGATGCGCATGTTGTATGCAGGAAAAGACAGGAGAAACTGTCCCGTTGTGCCGTCGGCTTGTGCGTTCACTCAGGGGCACTGTGGGTGAGGCAGGGCTACAAATGGTTAGAGACTTAGAGAGCTACCCACAGGTTTGTGGATGCTGGACAGGGTGTTGAGAACCTGCAAGGGTTGGATTTGTTTTAGAGGGCACAGACCTGTAAAGGCCACAGACTCCAGCATTACCCGCAGACAGCTGGAGATGGAGGAAAGGTGAGGGTGATAAAGTCTGTGCCATAGGCAAAGATAGTGACCAAAAATAATAGCATTGCCTGGTTAAAGACCTGCCGAACTACCCTGGAGGGACTCTGAACAGGATCTTTCACCACCTGCAGAATAGGACCCCACTAGCAAATAGGCTGCTTCGCCCAGCTCATTGCAAGCAGCGGCAATTAAGCTGCCAGTGAAGAGCAAACCTTGGCCCCTGGCTGTTTCCATGCTGTGCAAGTGTGTGTGCGTGTGTGTGGACAAAGCACGGGGCTTGGCAGCTCCATAGCCATCATGTCACAGGGCAATGCCCTGGCCAGGCAGCTCCTTCCATGGGGCAACCATGGCACAGACATGGTACCTGGTCCCCAAGACGCTGCGAGTGTTGAGGGGCCTGCTGTGTAGAGGTCCTAACCCGAAGGACATGCAGGCAGCAGGGGATGTCGTCCACCCTCTGTATGGTGCCACCTCTTGCCCATCGTGGCAAGGCAGCACCGCCTCGGACCCCACTGCATGCAGCGAACATCAGCCAGCTCCTGGCCACCTGCCTGTGGACCAGGCCACAGGGACCTTTCCCATCCACACTCCTTCGGCAACAGAGACTGGCCGGGATGGAGGCACAGGCTTGTGGTCCTGCTTAGCACTGCTGGAGAGCCAGCGCACTGAGCCCTAGGAACTGGCACAGGAAGCCAGCAGGAGAATTCCCAATTTTATACTGGGATCAAGGCCACAAGCCAAGGGGTACGGAGAGATAAATACAAATCGATCAACGTTAACATTAAGGTACATACAGTTAATGGCTAAATAGCAGATATCAAGCAATAACACTCTGGGATCTTCACTCAAGGAAGCTGGTACCCTCGCACACCTCTGGAGAGCCCCAAGCCAGCCACCAGGCCCGAGAGTGCACAACTGCTGTTCGCACGTCCAAGATGTGCTGCTACAGCGCCTAGTTGTGCCGCAGCTTCCCCTGCTTCAGCTGCTGCTCCCTTTGCTCATTCACCACTTCCTCTTTCCTCCTTCTCTTTCTCTTAGCTGCCAGGGTCTCTGGGAGCTGTAGTTTTCATACAGTTTGCAGTTTTTACAGCTCGGTTCAGATAGCAGAGCAGCTCCTCCTGCTGTCACACACACATATGACAATGAGCTTACACAATGCATTACACCAGCAATGTGTCTAGAGGCCATGCACATGAAGACCTCCTGGCTCAGTTTGGCCTGACTTCCTCCTGCTGTTCTTCCACCTCTCATCGTCATGCCCTCCTGCTCCAGATCTGATGTGTGTGGCATCCTGGCACAGCTCCCTCTCCCTCTCCATCCTCATCCACATCCAGGCTGCCAAGTGGAAGAATTCATACCATATGGACACGGTGTGCAGGGTCCAGCCTGCCGTGAAAATCCTGTTCACCTTTCTGGGGCTGCGCTACAAGGTGCCAGCAGGTGGCTGGAGGCAATGCCAGTGAACACTGAGTAGGCTGATGGCCCACCCACCCCACCCCACAACAGATCTGTTGTGCGCTTTGTACCCCCTTGGGTGCCAACCTCCCAGGCTGGCACCTATCGCAGGTTGCCCTGATCGATTGCCCAGTGCAGGAGGGCACCTGGGCACTGGCTCCAGGCTCCCGTGGTGGAAGCCCAGAATGGGGAGTTCCTGCCGGTTCCTGTCCTAGCAGCTCCACACTTGAAGTACAGGCAGTCCTCCGCTTACAACATTTCGACTTGCAACATTTATAAATTGACACCCCATTTCAACTTTCTGAAGTCAGTTTCGACTTTAGGATGCTTGATCCGATGCGATGCCAAGCCAATGAACAAGTTTGCTCCATTGCCTGTCTCCCTGGAGAACATCTGTCCAAATTTCCTGGGACGCTTTCTTTAAGAAAGCAGACAGGACTGCAGAACAACCTGCAGCCAAGACTCCTGAGACGACTCCAGCCAAGGACCCTTAAAAAAGTCCAGGAAAGTCACCTCAAAGAAGTCCTTCCAAATCAATATGATGGCTTTACAATATAAACATATAAATGTACCTATATTACTCATCTATAACTGACTCAGTGCAAAATTCTGGGTTATTTTGGGTGAAATTAGGGTATCAGGCATTGGTTCAGGGATCGATCCCCCATTTATAACATTGTTCCTATGGGAAAATTGGTTCTCAGTTACAACATTTCATCTTAAAACATGATTTTCAGGAACCAATTGTGTCGTAAGTCCGAGGACTGCCCGTACCTCAAGGAAGATAACTGAGACTACAAAGGTTCTCTATGGCCTGAACACCGAGAGTGACAGCAGGCAAGAAGGAGGTTGGGAAATCCCAAATCCCCAAGCACCTCAGCACAACACCGGGAAGTTGGCCATGGTGTCAGTGAACTGGAGGTTGGCCCTGCGGGCCTGAGAGACAAAGGTAGGGTCAAGACCAATAGACTGGTTATGAAATTATTTAATAGAGATATTCACCGGAGAAAACAGTAAGCAAATGAGGAGCAAGGCACTGGGAGGAATTTAGCTAGGCCTATTGCCATGTTCTTTGGTGAAAACATCACACCCTGTTGTTGTTAATAGGTCTTTTAATTGGGGCGGCTGCCCATCACATTTTTCCAGAGATTTTCAGCTTTCCTCAGACATGTTCCAACTTGCCATTTTGAGGAGACCTTATTTACCCTCATTATACAGGAGAGGTGATAGTACAGTGCCCCAGCCAGACGTTTTGTAATCATAGAATTGGAGAAAATGAGGGTTGAAGGGACCTCAGGAGGTCACATCTCATCCAACCCTTGCTCCAAGCAGGACCAGCCCCAACTACATCATCCCAGACAAGGCTTTGTCTACCCGGGTCTTCAACACCTCCAAGGACGGAGACGCCACCATCTCCCTGGGGAGCCTGGTCCAGCACTTCACCACCCTCCTCATGAGAAAATCTTCTATATATACACTGTCGTGGAAACACACGCAGCATACCTTTGGGTCAGGTCAGCAGAAGCTTTTATTCAAAAGAAACTACAGCTGTAGGGGGGACCCCAAAGTGACATGGATTTCCCAAGCACTTGGAAGGGGTTTCCCCCCCAAGAGCAAAATCAGGAGGCTTATATACTTTTTAACAGTGACTTACAACTCACATGATCATATAGTGGAAGTAGCTAGGAAAGCAGCTACAAACAAACATGAGCTCATATTGCTTTGCTGTTATCAGGATGGGAATTTCTGGGGGAGACAAAGGGAGAAATAACACTCCCTGCCTGCGCCTGGAAATCAGAGTTGTACATACTTTTTTGCTATCTTCAAGGCCGTGGTGAGGGAAGCACTTGCAGAGGAATTACAAAGAACAAACACTTTCCCTTATCTGTTCTGCTATACAGAGCCAGCAATTCCCCACAAAGCGGTTATGTCATCTTATAACTCGAGTGATCAAAGTTTAAGGCATTTATTTTTTCTGATTCGACAGTCCCCCCTTTGAGACTATTTAGTCTTACTTTAGCCTTAAACTTTTATTTTTATGAGCCCCTTTATTTTATTATGCAGCCTTTTATGTTTTTTTTTAATTTGCTCGCACTTTTGTAACACTATTATTTTAAACTCTGCCACGTGTTTTCTTGCCTTGCTTAAGCTTTTCCTGCTGGCTTTTACGCAGCAGAGGATCAGTTGCACTAAGACATAAAACATTGTCAGAAATATTAAGACAATATTTCACACAGGGTTTTTTTGCCAAGGGCCCCGAAATTTGGAAGCCAGGAGCTTAGCCAAGACCACATTTTTCTTAGACCCCAGTCGGTATTTTTTGAGGCCGCTTGATGTAGGACCCTGAACTGATTTTGAATTTTGCGAGTGTCGGTTTTTATTTGCATGTCCTGATTGACATAGACACAACAGGTGGAGTTTACTAAGGCACATACTTTTTGGGGGGATACCAACAGGTAATTTAGGGCTATGCAGTGTTGTATAGTTACATGTGAGATCTGGGAGATCTTTTTTTGCAGAGCTTGAATTGCATTTGCAGTGGCATTTTTTATAGCTTTTATTGTGGCTGAAATGTTAATTATGGCTAGTTTTAATTTTTTTACCCCAAGCCACGGTATGAAGGTTTTTAAAAACTGATGGAACCCTATGTTTTTGGTAGCTAAGGGGTTAACCACCCTTTTTATGTGACGTTTGAAATTTTTTACTAGTTTTAGATATATTGCACTACGCATTTCGAAACCAGGGATAACACGTCCAAGAGTGCATGCCCCCACCTGATTTTAGGGCAAGATTTTATGAGCCTCGTTTCCGCAGAGCCAGTAAAGGCCTGGGGCAGAAAGGGTACTTAAATCTGAACAGGTGTTCTGCCTTATCCGGCACTTTTGATTGACATGCATAGTATAGGACGGACCACGTTCGGCTGCTACTTTGCTGGACCGAGATATGTTACAAGAAGTAAAATTGGAGTGAACGTAAAATTTTGATTTGTTTGCAATGAGAGCAACATGAGGTTCACTAGAAAAGTT